AGGCCTGGGTCCCAGGTGCCGGAGGAAAACCGGTGCCGGCAGCCAGGGGGAGGGAAGGTGTATTGCACGAATCTTTTCGTGCAACAGACCTCTAGTAGTTTATAATGCTCTTAGCTGGAGACTTGTGCACAAGTTGGGATCCCACCTTTTACAAGGGACATCTATGGCCACCTGAATGGAAAGGGCCCTCTAAAAGTAGGGTCCTTTGAAGAGTGGGTGAGCCTTAGCCTGTTTGTCTCAGTGGATAGAGCGTCGGCCTGGACTGAAGGGCCCTGAATTTGATTCCAGTCAAGGGCATGTACCTCAGTTGCAGGTTCTCTGGCCCTGGTCAGGGTGTGTGCAGGAGGCAACCAATCAATGAGTTTCTCTCATATTGATGTTCCCCTCTGTCTCTCTCTCTCTCCTTTCCACTCTCTCTAAAAATCACTATAAGGCCCTATCTGGTTTTGCTCAGTGGATAGAGCATCAGCCTGCAGACTGAAAGGTCCCAGGTTCGATTCCAGTCAAGGGCATGTACCTTGGTTGTGGGCACATCCCCAGGGGGAGGTGTGCAGGAGGCAGCTGATCGATGTTTCTCTCTCATCGATGTTTCTAACTCTCTATTCCTCTCCCTTCCTCTCTGTAAAAAAAATCAATAAAATATATTTTTAGAAAAAAAAATCACTGTAAGGATTAACAACAACAAAAAGTGGGTGAGAGAGCTGAGGGGGGGTATATCCCAGATCAGTGGTTAGTCAGGAGGTGGGCACTGTTTCTGATGGTCTGTCTGGGGACAGAGGAACCAGCCCCCAAGTACAGAGCTGGGACAGAGCAGGAGAAGCTCTAAGGAGGGAAATCTGTGCCTAGCACAAGATGAACTTTAAATGGTCAGAGTTGTCCCATGTATTGCCTCGAGAGGGGTAAATTCCCTATGATTGGACAGATTTACACAGAACACCTGGATGAGGACACCTTTCAATGAAGTTAGAGATTCCTGCCCTGGGTGAGAAATTGAACAGCTGCTAGCTCTTCAATTCAATTTCACAGATTTATGACTATGGTTTCACAGATTTATGACTCTGAAATATAGATAACCTACTGTGATCCCCTAGAAAAACATTGGAGGGTCAGTCTAACATTTGTTATGGTTTTTGAGTCAGGCAAGTCTAATTTTGAGCCTTGGTTCTGTCACATATAAGCTGAAAAATCCTTAATCTCTTGATCTTCATTTTCTTCATCTGTAAAGGTTCCTATCTCACCATGTGTTCATAAGGTTAAATAAGACAGTGCCTGACCACTAATTCTGCCCTCCAGCAAGGCCACTGCCTTTGTCTCACATCCTAATTAAAAAAAAAAATAATAACAGGGTGATTGGAAAGTGGACCAGATAGTTATAACGCCAGCTGCTTATCCACAGGGAACCTTTTCTTCCTCCTCCTCCTCTTCTTCCCTCCCCTTTCCTTTTTCTTTTTGAGTCTTCACTTCTTGAGACAGGGTTTTAAAGACAGCAATTCTCATTCTCCTTGAGGTCTATTGAAGGAAACAGTATTTACCTGAAGATTTATGTTTTTAAGGGCCAGCTTTCATGAAAAGGGTCAAGTAGAGTCCAGAGCAAAATAAGGTCTCTACACTGCAATGGCAGGGAACTGATAGGAGCATGCCAGTAGAGTTTTCAGGGTTTGGGGTACACTGATCACCCAGATGTCCTGAGGACCTTCAGTTTTCCTCCTCCACTTTGCAATAGCCTGTGGTGTTTATGAACCACTTTATTTCAAACTGAGGAAGAGTCAGCCCTGCAAGCTAGAACCGTTCAGCTGCCCTTGGGGTCATAAGATGGGAGCACACTAACATGTGATGTGACCTCAGAACTTACCCCATTACACCCATTACCTGGTTGTCTAAGCCACTAAAGTGTTCTATTGAGGGTCCAAGGCAACTGGAGGGACACAGGGGTGTATAGGGAAAAGGGTTGGTAGTAGAGGATTGGGGTTCTGGCTGGGAGCAGAGAGCTTACTCATCTCTCTGTTCCCAAGGGCTAGCACAGTGCTCAGAAGACAGTGAAGGGTCATGAGTATTTTTTCAAGTGATCTGAGTAGAGCAGGTTGTAAGACAGCCAGGCTACATTTAGACAGTTGTGCAGCAGGACAAGCCTGGACTTGGAGCCGGACAGGCTTGTGGCACTCCCTGATAGTAACCTCATGGCTTTCAAGTTTTCTCATCTGTAAAATGGAGAGAAAATGTGCCAGGTTGCAAATGTGTGAATGCATCTAGCCTTGGATGGTCCTAGGTAATGTTCTTTAAATCTCAGTCTGCTGTGACATTGCTAGAAGATCTTGAACAATTCACTTTCATATTCCAAGTTTCCCTTTCCCCACTTATGAGCATGGGAAAGGGAACTCGCATTTATTGCGCATCTACAATACATCCTAGTCACTTTCACATGCATACTTCACTTAATCCTCACAACGATTCCATAGGACAGGTATCACTATTACCATTTCAGAGATGAAAAAGAGGCTCGGAGATAGTTTGCCTGAATTCACATAGCTATTACTAGTAAGTGACAGAGCCGAGGTTTGGACTGGGTTCTAACCACTCCAAAAGCTCCACATTGTCTCTATACTTCAAAGGGAAGTAAGTACTATTATACAGGTACTTCAGCACCCACTTCAGGGCTAAGTACACAGTGAGTTTTAAACAAAGACTCCATTGTTACACGTTAGGTACATGTCTTATCTCTCTGAATGGACTGTAAGCTCCTGAGGGGCAGGGAATAATTGATTTTTGTGTCCCCAGTGCATAGCATAGCACCTGACATAAAGCAAAGGCTATAATAAATGAATGAAAATATGGATGAACAGAAAATAAATTAATATACTTCTCTGGGTTACAGAGAGCAGCTGAATGTGCAGGAACGGAAAAACTAGCTATCTGAAAGTCCTTTCGAATTATGGTTTGAGCTGTTTAGAAAAAGCAATAATAATAACTCTAATTGTCAGTGGCATATGCCAGGTTGGTTTTCACCTCTTTATTTCATTTGGTTCTTGCCCTAGTAGGAAATCAGGGCAATGATTTATCATCCTTCCCATTTGATAGATGAAAAGACAAAGGCTCAGAGAAGTTTGAGTGGCAGGCCGTCCACTCAGAGGGCATGCAGCCGCTGGTGAACTACCTCCAGGGACAGGAAAATCACTGTCTACTGAGTTAGCCCACTCCATTTCCGCTGATGCCTATTTCCCAGAGCAAGTTTGGGGTCAAGTCTTACTTTCTGGGTGAGGCCTTTGGAGATGGAGAGAGATTGAGACCAATGGCTCTCTCAGCCCCACACTGAAGTTCCAGGAATATCAGCAACGGCCTAACTAATCCCGTCCCTGAACTAGTGAGGAAACTGCGGCCCTGTGTGTGGATCTTCAGCCAATCACACTGCTATGGCACAGCCTGAGCGGGCTTCTGCGGTAGCATTATGCCATGGTCTCATGATGAACTTGAAGGCGGCCTCGATCCCTGGGTCTTCTGTCTTAGCTCAGGAGGGGAGTACACCCCCAGCACTGAGCACAGGGCCTAGAAAAGCCGTGCTCAGCAGGAGGTGGCTGAAAGAATGACTGAATGGCAGGGGGAAGAAAAGAGTTGAGGCTGGGCTGAGGCTGGGGTTGAGTTGGCCTGTAGCCTCAGGTGAGGAGTAAGGCTTGAAGGTGAGGTTTGGATGTAGGTCTATATAATGTTTGGAATCAGGGTGGGGAAGGAAAAGCTGCGGTGGGATTGCAGGGGGAATTAGGGGCAGGTTGAGCTGGTGGATAGATGGGTATTGAGGAGTAAAGTCAGGGATGAGGTTGATGTTGATCTTAGGAAGGAGACCCTGGTGGGTACTTGAATGAGGGTGGAGTTTGTGTTTCCTGTGAACATTGGAAGATGGGGGTTTGCTGTTGGGGAGAGGGTTGGTATGTAATTTGGGGTTGGGTTGAGGGTGGTGGTGGATGACGCTTGGAGAGGGTTTAAACTGAAGGTTTTCCTGGGTGGAGTTGGGGTGAGGTTCAAGCTTTGATTTGAATAATGGTGCGGATCAGGATCAGGATGGGGGAATGGAGCTGAGAAGAGGTTGCAGAGGGAGTCGGGTTGGTGATGGATGAGGGCAAACGCTAAAATTGGGCCCGCGGGGGGTGGCGCCGATATTGGGATGGGCACTTGGATGAGCACTGAGGGTTGACTACGCAGCCTGGCTGAGATGGGAAGAGAGGGCTCAAACTAGATTGGGGTGCTCGGTGGGGTGAGGGCCAGGGCCAGTACCTGAGCCACCACATGTAGCTGTGCTCGTAGGGGAAGAAGCTGTGCGGGTCGTCGCAGCAGTACTTGTGGTCGCGGAAGCCGCAGCAGAAGACG